GCGCGCTTGCTTGCGCGCCTGTAGTCCCAACGCTTTGAGGCTGAGGCGGGAGGATCTCTTGAGCCCAGGGGATCGCGCCACTGCGCTCCAACCTGAGCGAGTGAGCGAGACCCTGTCTCATAAAAAAAGAAAACACACAGGATGCGCCTAGCTAACACCACCAATTGGTCACTGCCAGCCGCGATTCCATATGGGGAGCTTAACAAGGTAATGCCCTAATGATTTGTGGAATTTCTGAGTATTACCCAGTAAACTTCTGGATGAACCAGCAGCTACCCAGACACCCTCAGAGCACTGGTCCCATCCCTGCCGTGGTAAACTGAATGTGCACCCTAACTCCCGGGTGAAATCCTCAACCCAAGGCGTTGGTGCTTTGGAGGTGACTAGGTCATGACGACAGAGCCTTCATAAAAGAGACCCGAGAGCTTTGTGCAGCTTTCCACTGTGCGAAGGCAGCGGGAAGTCTGTAGTCTGAAAGAGACCCCTTCCCAGAACCTCAGCATGATGGGCACCCTGATTTTGGAGGTTGTGGCATCCCCCTGCTTCACCTTTCCACTTTCATTCCCCGTGGTGACCAAGAAACAGAGTCCCTGAGCCGCTCTGTGACCTCACCAACGGTATAATTTCGTCTGCAGACTTGAACCTGAGCCATAGCCATGAACATTCCCAGGCACAGATGACAGCATCTAGGTTGTTGCTCAAAACACAGAAAGAAACTGGACCCAGCCTGAGCCAGATTCCTTAAACCCTCATATAAACTCCATTTGACAACCCCCTCCCCATGGACATACCTAGAGAGAACATTCATTTCTTTCACCACCCGTTGCAAGAACTGCTGCAGCCCACTCTGTACAAAAGCCCTGCTAATAAATGCTCTGGGCGCATTACCCTGGCATGCTCAATCTTTCTGTAGAATCCTAACCAGCCCCATCTCAGCATGGTGTGGGGCACTTCCTTGTGGGAACTCTACTGCCACCACTTTTGGGGCAATTCCAGCCACAGGTTGAACTGGATGAAACACAGGTCTAGTGTCCAGAACTGTGGGAAATTTCTGTTTCTTAGTGACCCAGTCCATGGGTCAGGCTGTTAGAGCAGCCTAGCAGACAGCCCATCTGGCTTATCTATCTACTTAGCAAGTACTGGCTGCCATCTCCCTCATGAGGTGCTGTGTGAGCTTGCATCATGGAGCAGGTGCATGGCAAGGGCAGAGCAGCAGGCCACAGCCTGGCACACAGAAGGTGACTGGCCCACTCCTGGGAAGGCTTCCTTGGGTGTAGGGCATCAACTCCTGGGTGCAATTGCGGCTTGCCAGTCCAGGGTGGACTTCGGCCATGTGGGCAGGGCCCGGCTGTGGAGTGTGACCACTGACTGGATATCAGGTGTGGTGGAGAGGGGATAGCAGGGCCAGGTGGACGTTGGGGAGAAGTCCAGGATGGCTCTGAGGCTCTGGTCTGGGCAACTGTGAGGATGAAGCAGCCACCTGTCAACAAGAGGACCAGGTTTCTGGGGAAGACCTGGTCAGTTTTGGGCCCATTAGCCTGACAAGCCATAGGCCACAGGAGGAGGGGTCACCGCGGTGGAGGTTGCATGGCCTGTGCCTGCTGGGTGGAGTCCCAGCTGGGGGCACTGATCACAGTGGTGTCCTCTGTGACAGCAGCAAAGCTGAACCCAGGAGGGTGGAGGTGAGGGAGTAAGTAGAGGGGCAGTGGAGTTCCCAGGGGAACCCACTATAGAGGGAGGAGGCTGGGTACACTGGAGGAGGGGGCCAAGTGACTGCACAGTGTGGCCGGGCAGCTGGCTCTATATGCCACAGGGATTGAGCCACAACTTCAGAGACGGGGGCTCCAGGGAGGCTGCTCAGGAAGTAACCCTG